CCTGTCAAGCTCCCGGTCCAATTGACGCTAAACCCCTTTTGTATGCAAGCTCTCAGGATCCTTGCATCACAAATTCGAGTCGCATCTCGAGAATCTTCAATGCCGAATGGACATTCCCACTCCCGATTGCCAGCAACCCGCAGCACAATGCTTCCCGCACGGTCTCTCCGACCAGCCTCCCGTGCGGTACCGATCCTCCTCCGAAGCCCGGCGGCGGCACTGAGACCCCAATGCCTCCCGAGACGATGGTACGCCGACAAGAAAGCCGCACCACCACCACCGCCATCACAACCACCGGCCGCCGCCGCAGAAGATGACCTCCCCGACCACCGCAAGCTCGGCGTCCAGCAGGAGCTCTTCACATCCTCCGTCTACAGCCCCGGCTCCCCGATATTCCTCCCGAACGGCACGCGAATCTTCAACCGACTGGTCGACTTCTTACGGCGGCAGTACGTCCACTACGGCTTTGACGAGGTCATCACGCCAAATATCTACAAAAAGTCGCTATGGGAGGTATCGGGCCACCTGCAAAACTATGCCGACGACATGTACACCGTCACCAGCCGCGCGCGCGCACCCGAGGAGAAGATGAGCTGCTGCGGCGGCTCTCACGGAGACCAACCGCACGAGGGAGCCAGCGGCGAGCAGGCGGCAAGGCAAGCCGAGGGCGAGGACGACGACTACGGCCTCAAGCCAATGAACTGCCCGGGCCACTGCCTCATCTTCGCCTCCAAGAACCGCAGCTACCGCGACCTGCCCATCCGCTACGCCGACTTCAGCCCGCTGCACCGCAACGAGATCTCGGGCGCCCTCAGCGGCCTGACGCGCGTGCGCCGCTTCCACCAGGACGACGGCCACGTCTTTTGCCGCCCCATCCAGATCCAGGAGGAAGTCTTCAAGACGCTCGACTTCATGAAGACGGTCTACGGCGCGCTCGGGCTCGAGCAGTTTGATTTCGCGCTCTCGACCAGGCCCGCAGACCATTACATTGGCACCGACGCCGAGTGGGCGCGCGCCGAGTCGCAGCTGCGCGACGCGCTGGAGCAGGCTGGGCTGAAGTACACCGTCAAGGAAGGCGACGGCGCCTTTTACGGACCAAAGATTGATGTGATGCTGCACGACTCGCACGGCAAATCGCACCAGGCCGGCACGATCCAGCTCGACTTCCAGCTGCCGCAGCGCTTCAACCTCGAGTACCAGGCGCCCGCGCCCGCGCTCGAGGCGCAGGGTCTCCCGCTGGACGGCGCCAACGTGTCGGCGGCGGACCTCGAGACGTACGGACCCGTACCGCCCGTCATGATCCACCGGGCCATTTTGGGGTCTGTCGAGCGGCTGATGGCGCTGCTGATTGAGGAGTACAAGGGCCGGTGGCCGTTCTGGCTGAACCCGCGGCAGTGCGTGATCCTGGCCATCAACGACACGGAACCCGTCATGAGCTGGGCGTCCGAGGTGAAGGATATCCTGACGGGCCACGACCGCGTGCGGGACCCGGCGAACCCGCGACAGCCGCGCCCTACGGGCTTCGCGGTCGAGATCGACGCCAGCGCGCGGTCGTTGGCGAAGAAGCTCAAGGAGGCGAGGGAGAAGCAGCCCGGTTTCATACTGGTGGTGGGAAAGGGCGACGTCGCGGCGAAGCAGGTGACTGTCGAGGCGACGGACGGTCCGGGAAGCTCAGGGGGCACATCAAAGGGATCTCGGCAGCAGATGAATCCCCTGGCTTTGCTGGAAAAGATGCAGGAGAAAGTGGCAACGTACCAGTAGATTGGTGTTTGTTCGCGCGCGCGCTCCCGTGTATAACACAGATGTTAGAAATGTACACTACCTACCACTACAACAAACGCCGACTTGGCGGGTTTTTGTATTATAGTCATGATGAAAACGCAAGGTCAAGCCTCCTCGCAGCATTATTAGTCGTTGTTCTGAAGCCCCATACGACGACGGAACACCTATTCTCACTCCCGTTCCCAAGGTATAATATAATCTACACCAATCATCCTCAACTCCATTAAACAAATCCCATTGAAAGAATCAAAAGTCAACAACGCAGCGCACACCCCGCCCTCCTGCTGTTCCATTACCTAGTCCTGTTGGAAGTGCTGTTCGCCTGCTGATGGGACAACGGTCTACAATGGCCGTCAGTAACTGGGCACAGTCTCATCCGGGGTGCTCACAACTCACCGCTTGTACTTCTCGTCAACCTCGCCGCCGGAACTCTCAATGCGCTCGACCAATTCCTGACGCTGCCTGAGCTGCTCCTTCATAAACTCCACCGTCTTCTTCAACACGAGACCCTCGGAACGGCCCTGGCCTTCGAGGCCGGGGACAAGCTCCGTCAGGCGGTCGAAGCCCTCGCGGATGGCCTGGCGTCGCTTCTGCTCTGTAGCGGATTTATGTCGTATTAGCCAGTTCCGCGCCAAATGACGAGTTTGCTCCAAGCGTGTGCGCGTAGAATGTGCAGAAGCTTCTAAAAGAGAGGATATTGACGTACCAGACGCGATGTGATTCTGCTTCTTCTCCGCCTCGGTCAGGCGCGGCTTCTCTTCTGGCGCCTCGGCATCCGCCGCCGCTGAAGGGGAATTGGACTTATTGGGGGAAGACATTGGCGCGGGGGGCACATTCAGTTTCTATAGGATGCAGATGCAAAGTACGGAGGTGGTGTTATAAGTGGAGGTGATCCATGAACGAATGACCGACCGATCGATACCTTTTACTGAGCTTTGGCGTTGAAAAAGAGAAGGCGAACGGGGTATATGTGCGTGTGTAGTGTATGAGTGAGGGAGTGTGTGTGAGAGAGAGAGTATGTGTTTCGCACGATCACATGCCGTTTCGCACCAGAGCTCTGAGATCAGATCCCCCCTCCAGACTTTCCTCCGCATTGCGATTTGCGGGATTCGCAGAAAGCCACCACCCCACCCCTGTCTGGTAAGGTTCCTGCAGCACGTTTGTTTCCGCCCGCAGGGCTGGCTGGCACCGCCGGAACAGGAGCTGAACCTGTCGCCCAACGCTCTTTAGGGACCTTACCTTAATTACCTTACCTAAGGTAGGTATTTCGTACACAGTAGAGGCAGATAAGATAAGACCAAGAAATCAATCAATCGCGTGGACCTGGCGGGGTTGGCACGTCCCACGCTTTCAAGGCTGCGTGTGACCTCATTGGCATTGGGTCGGGATTGATTGCTCATCCAGAAATTCTACAGCTTGCCGGCCCACAATCCGCTATCCGTAGACCTCCTTTCTTTCCGATATTAGCTGCACTTCGATTCCCATCCTGACGTTACCCTACACTCAAAAGAAACAAAACTAGATTCTTCCAAAAACACCCAATTGACACCGAATCTTTTCCCACTTCCGCACAGATCAAGCGCTTCACTCTCCACACACTCTCACACACACCCATACACCACGACCAACACCACAATGGCCGACGTCAAGACAGCCTCCGACCCTCCACCCGATCACACAAAGGCCACCGAACACCTCACCCGGCCACGAGCACCCTCCGCCGCCGCCGGCGGTCCCGGCGGCCCTCGGGGACCGCTGCCCCTCAACCTCCCCGTCCTCTCCTACCTAAAATCCAAGCGCGTCATCCTCGCCTCCGCCTCCCCGCGGCGGCGCGCCCTCCTCGCCCAGATCGGCCTCAAGGACCTCGAAATCACACCCTCGACGAAGCCCGAGGACCTCGACAAGTCCGCCTACGGCCCGTACGAATACGTCTCCGCCACGGCCCGCCAAAAGTGCCTCGACGTCTACGAGACGGCCCTGCAGACGCACCTCGCCTCCATCCCGGACCCGGACCTCGTCATCGCCGCCGACACCGTCATCGTCACCCGCGACGGCCGCGTCCTCGAGAAGCCGCGGAGCGAGGCCGAGCACATCAAGATGCTGCGCCACCTGCGGGATACCCGCGTGCACAGGGTCCTGACGGCCGTGTGCGTCGTCGCGCCGAGGGAGGACGCGCGGTCGCCGGGCTACGAGATTTGCCAGCACACGGAGGAGACAAAGGTGTACTTTGCGCAGGAGGCCAACGGCTTGCCGGACGACGTGATCGAGGCGTACGTCAAGACGAGGGAGGGGGCGGATAAGGCGGGCGGGTACGCTGTACAGGGCATGGGCGGCATGTTGCTCGTCGAGAAGATTGAGGGCAGCTTTGATAACGTAGTTGGCTTGCCGGTGCGGCAGACGCTGGCGTTGGCGGAGAAGGCCATCTTCAAGCAGGATGAGGAGGAGGTTGCAGAGGACGAGGAAGAAGAGGACCTGATGTGATTGATTTGCCTACCAAACAAAAAGTGGAAAAGGTAGAGAGAACTGCTACATACCCCGGCCGCCTTCTCAAGACGAGGAGCAAACACATTTAGAGAGGGCGCCAAAAGTTGATGAGATGCCCTGGTTTCTGGCCTCGAATTAGATGACGAGATGAGCTTCCTCATCTTCACATACAGCTAAAAGCCGTACATACCGCGTAGCTATACCCCTTGAATGATCACAAGTGATACGGGCTCACTTGCCAATCCCAAGCAAACAGCACACATAGGATGCCTCCGGTGACTGTTGAGACTGCATCTTTACTAGGTATAGTGAGTGGTACGCTATCACTCGTGGCCAACTAGCCTTCTGGTAATTTCTCCGTCAAGTCAACAAGTCTACTGGCAAATGTCATTTACGAAAGCTTCATTCACACATTGATTCGGGGCTGCTGTCCTAAAATCTTGGATTCACTTAGAACGGTCCGCTCGAGACGTAGTTGGAGCATCGCCTTCTGACTACTGAGGAACTCGCAGTAAGGATGAAGACGGCTTATAACTAGCGAATAATACCCCGCTTAAAGACAGATAAAAGACCTAGTCTCTACATTAAAGAGAGTCTCCGTAGTATTTATAACATATCCCATTCTGTTCAGCTCGGCCATAAATATATATCAAAGGATAATTAAAAGCGACAAACTATGGGTTGCGTTTACTATGCTGAGCGCTTGATGTAAAACGGGAACTCGGTATGAGATATCCATTATGTGCTGGTCATAGGCGCCCGAGACTCGTATTTTAGTAGAGAAATTTCTATAGAGACTTCATAATAGTCTCGCAAATATGCATAAAGTATACGTCTTATACAGGCTAACTTGTGCAAACATTATTCCATCATCCCCATGCTTCAGAGACCATGAATTAGCGGCCCATGAGGATGCAAGTGTAGCTTCTATGCTTCTCTGCTTCCATCGCATTTCCGATTAGCCTCCAATTATAATTCAATCATTGGCGTCACTCACTTAAAAACCCTGAGGTAGGCAGCCGGCATCAAGTTGGCTTGTATCACGCCGCATCTGCACGGTTCAGAGGGCAAGTTAGCCGAAAGGGAAAAGGGCAAGGTACCGAGACTACTTTAGCCTACTGGAGCTGCCAGTCACCGTGTCTGACAGCAATGCGGGCGTGGAATCCCAGGGAGACCGTGACTCTAGGGAGAAGGGCGCTCGGCATCTTTCTAAGCCCATCACCTACCGATGTTAGACTTCGGTCCGAAACGGCCCTACAAGATCGGTTGCGCATTCTTCCGCTGACCTTCGCATCTCATCCAGGCAAGAGTCTCTCCAAGGCTACCATCTGGAGTCGCCGAGTCGGAATAGCTGGTCGTCTTATCCCACCACAGTATATCAAGTGGCTAGGCTTCATTGACATCACTGCTGCCGTGCGAAAGTGTCGGCTTCCATAAACATGATGGGAAAAATGACACGGCTGGACTGGCCTTACTCAATAGTCGCGAGGTAGAGTCGGACAGAACGAAGCTGTACCTTCTAGGTCGCGACGCCACGGGTAGCCCCCGGAGTCTCGGACGCTGGAGAGCCTCGAATCCGAAAAATGCTTTCTACGGAAGCGGGCATCACCTCCTTGGCAGGGGGGACGATAGGTAGCTACCCCGGGCCGACATGTAAGGGGGCATCTGGCGGGGCACGGCGGGGCACGGCGGGCATGGCGGGCATGGCGGGCAACGGTCAAGAGAGACAGATTATGTAGGTATTCCTCGCAAGCATTAGCCGGGCAGGCGATTGAGAAACACTCGAACGTGCTTTAAGTGATTGTGTAACATACACAGGGCGTTAAGTCGACGCGATGGAGTCAAATGGAATGCGAATGTTCTTGTGTAACCACCCTGCGAAGACAAAGTGATGCTTAGGGAGACTGCACTGTCAGTACGAATATTTTTGCCCAAGGGAGGCACAATTGGTGAATGGCCGCAGGAAGTAGGTAAGTTACTCTTTCCTGACATTTGACCCAAGAGTCCAATCGTTCTCAGCCACAACACAATTCTCTGTAACGACCATAAGTCAACCCCAAAGCCCTGACGAGACTGTGTATAACATTGATTTAGGTAACAAAACTCCTTGACTCCTGGGTAGTATCCGATCCCCCAACACGTACACTGCCGGTATCGATGGCTCTGAGATATCCGTGATATCATCCGATGTGAAGTAGATGCCATCACCGTGTAGGGCGTGTGCCTGTAATATGCCTCTTGGTATCTTTTCCCGAGGTATCGCCTATTAATATTACTAACTGGTTTGCCGCACCTCTGCATTATCGTGAGAGTCTTCCTCGCTTCAAGACTTTGTCGGCCGTTTGAGTGGGTGAGCTTCAGTGTTGAAAACCCATTCATCCAAGCTGATGAGCTCCGGATCGGAGAAGATGAGGTAAAAGTACTTCAACGTCTCAGCAAAGAAGAAGCTCTCCATGCTATCCTCCTGCCGCGACTGGCTATACGTCACATCGACGACGACAGCGTGGGCGTCGTCGGTCTGCGTCGCCTTCTGCACGGCCTCGAACATGTCCCACGCCATATCCAGAAGGTCCGCCTTGCCAGTGACCCGGTACAGCACAAACAGACTCTCAATAGCCTCGGGCCGCAGGTTGTAATGCGCGTCGTCGATGCGCCAGAACCCCCTAGGCGCGTGGTGGCTGCTCTGCGCCACCCACTTCTGCTCATCCCACTCGCACACCTCGACGGTGTCGCACTTGACGACCTGGGACTTCTCCGGCATGAGACCGCTCTTGAAGGACTTGTACGCCCACGCGCACCCGCGCGCGAGCTTGTCGCCGAGGTCGACGTCGTCGGGTATGTCAAAGAGCTTGCCCGCCATGGCGAACATGCCGCCTGCGAAGCAGGACAGGTGCTCGAGCTCTGAGATCTGGTCAATCTTGCGGAGCTTCTCGTTGACGATGGCGGTGCCGAGGAGCAGGATGTCGTCCTTTTGCGGCGTCATGGGCCGGTAGAGGAGGTGGCCCTTTGTCGCTTTCGCTGCGCCCCTGTACATCTTCTCGTATGACGTGTCAAGGCCGCCGAGGAGGACGTGCATCTTTGGGAGGTATTCGTAGAGCGCATCGCCGTCTCCACCGAGCTTGAAGACGTTGTTGGTCGTTTGGAAGTCGTCGCGGACGTTGATGAAGTTGGGCCACATGCCGGGCAGCAGCGTATCGTCTTGGATTCGGTCAAAGGCCTTCTTTATGCGCTCGATGGCGTCGTAGAACTTGAAGTCGCCGGTCAGCTGCGCAAGCCTGGTGAACTCGAGGGACATGCTGCCGATGGAGGCTGCGCTCTGATAGGGGTCAGGCAAGACTTTCCCGGCTCTGAGCTCCTCGAAATTGAAGCTGTAAGGAGGGAAGCGATTCGGCGTGTCGAAGGCCGCATAGAGCATGTTGGCGAGCTCAACGGCCTTGTCAAGGAGGACTTGCTCCTCGCTGAGATCGTACGCGGACAAGAGTCCACCGAGGTACCGGACGTTTGTCTCAAAAATGTTGCATCTCGTCTCCGTCGCGTTGTTCCAGTCAATCGTGCTAATGTATTGGACAGCGTCGTTGAAGTCATCATACATGCCCATCAACCAAAGAGTGTCGAGGGAGTCAACCAAGGTGACACCCCATCCGTTGTAGCGATTCTTGCCCCTCAATGAGAGGGGTTGTAATTCGTCGTAACCCCAAGCGTGCCTAGTGTATGATTGCCAGCTCTTCTTGAAGGCGTTCCGTACTTCATTGCGACGGGAGGCCATGAGGCCAATGTCGAGGCCGATGTCTCTCTTCTTCAGACTGTCTGATCGGTCCGCGGCGAACTCATATTGTATCTTTGGGAGCGCGAGGGGCTGGCCGTTCGGTAGCCTTGTCATCTCAGCCAGGGGGACTGGATGCCTCTGTGGATGTGTAGACCAGTCATAGCTTGTCTTAATAGGCTTGACGACATCATCGTTGCTGCTGGGAACATCCTCAAGCTGCACCGGAGTATCGTCCCGTAATAGCAAAACCGAGAGCACCACGAAGACGACCAGCAGCGCGAGTACCCGGTAGGTCGGCGGGGAATGGTTTCGCAACTGAAATTTGGCGACCATATTGGACGAAGAATAGACAAAATCGAGGCAGGAGTGACATGCAGAAGACCAGGGGCGGCGGGAGGGGAAAATAGGCGCGGCAGACATTTTGTAGTACGAGCTGACTGTCGTCACTCGGATATCGACCGTGTGAGAGAGAGGACCTTTGGGGAATTTGGAGCTCCTGTTGCTTCTTGCGGCGCTCGACGTCTCGAAGGTCTGCTGTCACTCTGGTGCGTCCCAATCCATGAAACACGAGGGGTGACCCATGATTTTGTGCTTGACTGCGTCCTTGAATTGTCTGTGCAAAGGGATTAAGGGGGGGTAGTCCTGTACGGATAGAGAGTAGGTAGATCACTCGGACTGTTAACGACTCAATCGACAGGTGATAGTATGGACTAACACGCGATTGGACCTCCGTTCCCTTTGGAAGGCTGAGTAGGCTTGGATCGAACTGGAATGACGTTTGGCTAAGATCGAGGCTAAGGCAGATAGCTCTTGTCAACTCCGCGAATGACATGCGACATTCCTCCCTAAAGCGTTGCACAAAATGCTTCCGGAAGAAACAACGATTGGGAAAATAAGGTGGGAATCCAAAGGGAGGACAACCCATGTCATTATGAATCGTTGACTGGTGCTTAAAGGCCGGATACATGTGCCATTCCAACTACATTGAACCTAGATAGTATGCCCACTCACGAGTCGCCTTCTGACTAGGTAGGCGGAGGAGGTGACGGCTCAAGCCAACAAGAGCGCGTCGTTTCAAGGCACCTGAAATGTTTCAAGGAACGTGGGCTTTGGGAGGGAAGCTGACTGAGTTGACGTCGGCCGAAGGCGCATATTGAGTGGAGAGTGGGAAGTGGGAAGGGAAAGTCGACTTGTGGGGGAGTGGCTGAAAACGGCGGTCCCGAATCTGAGACAGTGGACATACCCCACCGGGCCGAGCATTTTCGGTCCTTTCCACCTTTTGACGGAAGCAAATCCGGGTACCCACCACCGTAAGCCACACTTTGCTTGGCATGTGGCTGGAGCTTCATCTTGACCGCCTAAATTTTTCAAATTTCTGCCGCATCCCACCTTGCCCAGGCGGCCCAGGATCGTCGGTGCACTTTCGTCGCCTCCAGGGAACGGCTTTCCAGCTTTTTTTTTTCTTTCGCGGAAAGAGTCTCTTGTTTGCACAACCTTAACACCAAACAACCATGTCTTCTATGCGCAACGCCGTCCAGCGTCGCTCCCACAGGGAGCGCGCTCAGCCTCTGGAGCGCCAACGTTTCGGCCTCCTCGAAAAGCACAAGGTTCGTCTAGGACGCTCTGCAACAGCTAGTCGTCGAGATAGGTTACTGATATGCTCACTTTCTGCCTACAGGATTACTCCCTCCGTGCCAAGGACTACAACAAGAAGAAAGCCACGATCAAATCCCTGCGCGAAAAGGCCGCCGACCGAAACGAAGATGAATTCTACTTTGGCATGCTCAGCCGCAACTCCATGGGTTCGCGCCTCAAGGACGGCAGAAAGTGGTCCGGTACCGTCGCCGGCGACCGCGGCAACAAGGCTATGGACATGGACACGGTACGGCTGCTCAAGACGCAAGATGTCGGCTACATACGCACCATGCGCAACGTCATCTCCAAGGAGGTGAGGCGTCTGGAGGAGCAGATTGTCCTGATTGGCGGCATCGATGCGGCGAACCACAACGGCGGTGACGACGACGACGACGACGACCTGAATTCCGACAGCGACGCCGAAGAAAGTGTCAGGAAACCCACCGGACCGAGAAAGATTGTCTTCCTGGACGCTGCGGAGGCGGAGGCCAAGGCAAAGTCCGCTGACAAGGGACCGATGGATCTGGACGACGAAGAAGGAGACGAGGACGAGTTGGAAGGGTTCGACGACGCCAAGGGTGACGGTGAAGGCGACGACGATGCCACGGAAAGCAGGGAAAAACAAGTGGCGCGGTTACGGCTGCAACTACAAAACGCCAAGAAGAAGCTCAAAGTCTTGACCAAGGCGGAGCAGGGTCTCGAGATACAGCGGGCCAAGATGGCAAAGAGCGCGACCTCGGGCGGCACGACGAGAAAGGGCAAGAAGATCATGGTCCGGGCCCGCAAGAGGTGAAAGGATGGTTCCAAAATTCAGCGTCTTTCAAAAGAATGGTCGGCGAACACGGTTGAAATTGGTGTTATTGGGGGTTTTTTTATCGTGTCTTCATTTTAAATCCTAACATTCTGAGCGGCGGCTATGGAGAAGGATGGACCCCCCATATGCTTTGCCCAGAAAAAGTCGTCATGCGATACCCAAGGACCACCCCGGAGTATAGATCTACATATACAAAGAAGGAATATCATCGGTCCCTATCCTATTCATGGATAGGGTCTCATAAGGAAAATTCCCATTATTCCATCAACCCCTCAAAAACCGTGAGAGACGAACCAGTACGAGAACAATGCATCAACTCAAAAGTGGTATCTCATTTCCTTCCTTATCATTCCCGTATTCATCATTTTTTGTTCTTTTGCCTCGGGTTCACTTGGACTTGACGCCGACACACCTGGCAAGGCCCTTGACAATGGCAGCAAGGGCTTTGAAGCCAATCGTCAGCAGCCAGACGAGACACTTGAACAGCCCAGCCACGACCTTGAACAGCGCTCTTAAAGGCCAAGGCAGCCTGTCGCGCGTCTCCTTGCCAGCCTGCTCCAGCTTCGCAAAGCTGCTGTCCTGGCTCTCGACGTCAATCTCAAACTCCTCCATCTTACCCCTGCGCGCGGCCGCCGCGGCCCTCTTCTTCTCTTCCCTCTTGCTCAACCGGCTGTCGCGGCCGCTACCAACAGGATCGTGCGGCGCCGGGGGCGGCTCAAAGGTCTCGACTTTGGTATTCTTCTCGTCCGCCGCCGCGACGAGCATGAGCGCCGCGACGGCGACGTCGACGAGGAAGAAGCTGTCAATCTTTGCGGCGATGGCCGTGTCGACCTCGAGGTACCCGCCGCCGGTACCGTCGCGCGTCAGCTTGGCGAGGTGCTGCGGCGACTCGTGGTGCTCGAGCGTGTACTCGACCCGGCTCCAGGCGGGCGAGCGCTCAATGGTGACGCAAAAGGGGGTTGCGAGGGCCGGGTGGACGAGGAAGTGCGACCCGGAGTCCTGGTCCCAGACGAGGCGGGCGCATTCCGTCTCGGCCGTCATGATGGCGTTCATGTCGTCCGGCTTGTCGAGGGCCATCTTGGCGGCCGCGAGCGGGTAGAGGAGGGCGACGAGGCCGTCGTTGGGCGGGTGCTTGCGGGATTCCTCTTCCAGAGTGGTGGTGAGGACCTCCTGCCAGTGTTTGCTCTCGGCGCCCTTGCCGTTGTTGCTGTCCTTGTGGCCGACGACGCCGGAGAGGATGCTGCTCGCTGACGAGCTTGCCATGGGGTTCGGGGCCTTGTAGACCTTGGCCGGGTCGTGGCGGCTGAGGGTGACGTAGGCTGATGCGGACGTGGGATCGAGCCGGATGTTGTAGAATGGCTGTGATGTCGAGGAGAGCGTATATACAGGTGCGTCCTTCTCCTGAGACATCTTCATGCAGTACACTCTGCCTTCTGAAGGGGGTGCTTTCCAGCCGTTGGAGACCTTCCATAGGCTCTTCATGTGCTCATTCGATGAGACATTGGGGATGATGGGAGGCTCGATCTGTCTCCTTGGCCATCTTTGCGCTGAGCCTCCGCTCAGGGGGCTCCTCATGGGAGGACTCCTGTGCTGGTCGTTTTGACCTTCAGCTTCCTGAGGGTTCGGATACCATGTTGTCCGGTTGATCACGGCCCGCGGGATATGAGTCGGGCTTGTTTGCGTGGGGAAGTAATCTTGTTGGTTGAGAGGCCTTTCCGGGTTATACTGAGGGAAGATGGATCGCAGAGCAGGTTGCTCTTGTGAAGACGACGACGGCTCCTCGGGGAAAGGAAGCTTTGCTATCGAGCTTCTGGACCGCGTGCTGTTGTTCCGCACAAGCGTATGTGCTTGTGAGAAGGCGGTATCTGATCGGGGCGGGATATCGGCAACGGGAGGGGGCCGTTGGATGGGCGATGCCTCCGTAGCTGATGCCGGGGGGAGGGCCGGCAACTCGCGACTACGCGGCGATGGCTGCTGCTGTTGTTGTTGTTGTTGTTGTTGTTGTTGTTGTTGTTCACCTGATGGGGCCTGGCAAAGGCTTTGTGGAGTTTGCGATCGCTCAACCGGTGTTTGGACTCTCTGTTGCGGCGTCTGTCTGCCGTGACGTGGTGGAGACGCCTGATCGACGTGATGAACGCTCTCGGGGGACACAGCCCGGGGCCGCTCACGCGATTCTGACTTTCGAGTTCGAGATGCCGGCCTCCTTATCGTTGGCGGCTTGGAGTTGGGGTTCGGGAAGAGTGAGTACCCTCCAGAGGGTGGCTGTGTCGACGACGACATGATGCTGGGCTGTGCTAGGAGAGAGCTATCTCGAATTGAATGTTGTTGGTTTTTCCTCCGGTGTATCTATGATATTCAAATCTGGCCACGAAATATGGGTAGGGGGGAAATGGCCTGAAAGGAATGAAGAACAGGTAGTCCAGCTGCTACCGATGCATGATATCCGACTCAGTGGTACCAAACAAACAACAAACAAGACTTCGTTTATTATTGCAGTACTAGGTAGACAACACAGATGAAAGGAAGAGAAAAGCCGTGTAAACATACGACTACCAACGATACCAAGAGAGTGTATATACGAATTACCCTACCTTACTCTCCTCTCCCCCTTTGAAACAGCGGCACTACTGCGCGTGGTACAGGGCGGCAGGTCGCCCACGGGAAGGCCTGGGTAAGCGCTGGCTTCTTGACAGACGGGCCGCGGTGAGTGGGTGAACTGTGAAGCCAAAGAAAGGATGGAGGGGCGGCCGGAAGGGGGGAAAGATGGTGGTCGAGATGGGTAGACGAAAATAGATTGTGAAAGGTTGCGGGCTGGGCCAATCAGCCCGACCATCACACTGCATTCTAGGCGCCGAGACCAGGGTGGTGAGAGACAGGCGCGCGGGGTTGGTTCGACGGGAGACCCGGTGCCATTGGCCAAGCTCCCCAAATTGGGCGGTCATTCTATTGATCTTTTGAACTCTGACCGCCCTTGGTGTATCCTTTTGGGCTTGGGGTTCCTGGGATTTGCGAGAATGCCGTGCGAGGTCTTCGGGCATCGAAGCGAGAATGTAACGCGGGAGACTACCTTGTCCTGGCCGGGGGGCCGTTGGAGGCACCTTGCATCCGCCGATCGTGTGGAAAGGGCTCAAAGTGCTTGTTCACGTTCCACATGGCTTTCGAAAAAGAAAGAAAAAAGAATCATCGAGCCATCTCTGTTTCGACAAAGGTCAACTTTTCGGTCGAGGAAGTCATAGGTCTGCCCGTGAGACAACTTATGGGTTTCGGTCTTGCGTCTTGTAGAGTAATGAGACGGGCATGCGCAGCCTTGAATGCGCAAACCCGTTTTCAACGGCAGAGGCGTTTAAAGGCACTTGGGTTCGGCGCCTAGCTCGAGGGTTGTCTTGAAGCACAACTGGGTGGGAGAAAAGGTGAAGGCGATCGGGCAAAAGACCGGCTGTGGTCGGCTGGCTGGTTAGAGTTTCCTTCGGTCTCTTGACCGGAGTCTCCGGGCTCGGGCGATCTTTCTGGGGCCGGGCGTCGCCGATACTGTCTCCGATGGTCGGCGCATTCTACTTTATTGATGGTGGAGCCGGTGTCCGAGTAGCTCGACTTCGCTCCGTGTACCTAGGGTGATTAGTTTTCGAGAAAATATTCACAACTCCTGTTATCAACCATCTTGACACGACCGACGTATGCTTTACTTCCAAGATTCAGCAGTCACATTATTCGCAAGATGGCACAGATCGTAGTGATTGGGTAAATACCTAACAAACCCTCCTCTTGCTCAAGTTTGGAGTTGGCCGCTAACACCAGACAGAGCCGGTGTAATCGGATTGAGCACCGCCGTGAGACTCCAGCAGGATGGTCACAAAGTAGCAATTGTGGCCAAGGAGTTTCCGAGCCCGTTTGAGGCCGTTGACAGCAAAGCTTCAATCAATTACACCTCACAATGGGGCGGCGCTCACAACCGCTGGGTCATACCGGCCAACGAGATGGAACAGCGCGATCATACGATGGCTCTTAGAACATTTCAGCACATGGATTCGCTGGTGAAGAGCAATCCTGAAGCTGGCATCACTTTCATGCCTGGCATCGAATATCTCGAGGATCCCCCGGCCCAGTACAAAGCTCTCACGGAGGAAACGGCCAAGAGCTTGGGACTGGTGAATTTCCGGCCCCTGAGTAAGAGGGAATTCCCGGACGACAAGGTGAGGTGGGGATGCGAGTACAAGACATGGTGTGTGAACCCCATGATCTACTGCTCGTTCCTCCTTCGCAAGTTCTCTTGGGGTGGCGGCCAAGTCCTCCGCAGGGAACTCAGTGATGCTCGCGAGGCCTTCTCGATGAAGGAGTTGCCGAATGTGCGATATGCAGTCAACTGCTCTGGTTTTGGATTTGGTGACCCAAACTCATTCATCACGAGAGGTATGTCAGCTGCCCTCGGCCAACTTGCTTTGATGACATTGCTGATGAGGTACTTCAGGTCAAACGTGTGCCGTAGCCAACTTCAGCCCGGCAACAGTGACGAGACAGAATGCTGATGGATCCTGGACATTTTGCGTGCCTCGAAATTTCGACGGCGGCACTATCGTTGGTGGCACAAAAGAACCCGATAATTGGGACACTGAACCGTCAGTGGAAGTACGGGAAAAGCTTCTCAAAACTTTTGCTGCCACGTATCCCAAGATTCTCGGGGACGATGGAGAGTATCGCGTCCTCAAAGATGTCGTGGGGCGACGACCGACACGGAAAGGCGGCTTGAGACTGGAGAGAGAGGAAGTGGACGAGAAGCACACCATAATCCATGCATATGGACTTGGTGGTAGGGGGTTCGAGATGTCCTGGGGTGTAGCTGAGGGTGTACTCGAACTGTTGGGAGACTTGAAAATCACCCCGCGACTTTAGCAGTGTATATGCCATGCTAGAGAAACGGTGTAAAAATATAATAAATAAGATCTGAATCAACAGGCACTGATCAACGTTGTCTAAACATTAAACCCGTATGCATGGTCATCAACCAGCGTGGAAAGCATGGAGGAAGGGAAGAAGGTCAAGCGATATCGGCGACGTCGTCTGATTGGCCCATTGATGACTTGACTGAAAGCGAGAGAACGTTGGAGACGTTGCAGCTTCGGCCGGTACCTGCATGGCGTCACCCGCCGCTGCGTGAGTGGTGTAAGTCCTGGCTGGGCAGAATGTCGCAAAAGGGGAAGAAAAGAAAAAAAAGTAAAAATTTCTCAGCTGTTGGAGGCAGAGATTCTATTCGCCTGAATGACCGAAAAGGAAAAGAAGAAGTTGGGTTCACCTCACTGGTAACTGCCATCCCATGTCCCTGCCTGTAATTTTAACGTGCCTTCCTAGCAGGTACCCCGCGCTCCGATAAGCGGTGAAATAATAAGTCCCCTACGGATACAGGCACGCACGCAAGACAGAAGAGTCACACACAAGGTGGGATGTTTTGGAGTCATTGCCCCACACCCAACTTTAATCATCTTCAACCTTCCCGCCTCGAACTTTCGTAGCTTCCTCTCCAACAACAGCAATCAATTGTATTCGCAGGCACCTCAATCGAAGTCGCAAACATGGCCCACACGATCCTTCACCTCAGATCTGAGACCAAGGTATGTAACGATTGTGGTAGCTTACATTGACGTGGGTTATTCAGAGATAGCTAACCTTTGACGTCAGCCCTTGGAACACAGGAGCGCACTCACACCTACCACTACTCGTAAGCTAGTCGACGCCGGTTACGAAGTCAGAGTCGAAAGGAGCCCCGTACGTTTTCGTCGATCTAAAAATCACTGTTCGTGAGGAACGAAACATTGACTCGACAATCCCCAGGTTCGCATCTTTGACGATGCCGAGTTCGAAGCCGCTGGCGCGACCCTTGTGCCCGAATACTCCTGGGAGTCAGCCCCGGCGGACGTGATCATTGTCGGTCTTAAGGAGCTTGAGGAGAAGGAGTTCCCTCTCAAGCACGTTCACGTCACCTTCCTCCACGTCTACAAGGTACATTAGCCCCAATTGAGCTAAACACCACCAGAGAGCTTGCTGACCCAGGTATAGAACCAAGGTGGCTGGGAGAAGACTCTTGGCCGTTTCCCTCGTGGCGGTGGTACCCTTCTCGACCTGGAGTTCTTGGCCAACGAGTCCGGCCGTAGAGTTGCAGCTTTCGGTTTCCACGCTGGTTTCTCCGGCGCTGCCCTTGCTCTCGAGAACTGGGCTTGGCAGCTCACCCACCCCGGCGAGCCCTTCCCCGCCGTCGAGGCGTACCCCAATGAGGATGCTCTCATCGTGGATGTCAAGAAGGCCTTGGAAGAGGGTATTGCCAAGGCTGGACGCAAGCCTAGAGTCATCGTCATCGGTGCTCTTGGACGTTGCGGCTCCGGTGCCGTTGAGATGGCTAAGAAGGCTGGCGTTGAGGATATCGTCCGCTGGGTGAGTCAAGACCAAGTCTTGTTACCGCAACACACACTGATATGGGACTGTAGGATATGGAGGAGACCAAGAACCCCGGTCCTTACAAGGAGATCACGGATGCCGACATTTTCGTCAACTGCATCTACCTCAGGTATGTTTCTTTGGGAGAGACTTGGACCCCGAGCTTTAACTAACCAAATTGTTCACCGTAGCCAACCTATTCCTCGTATGTTTCTCCCTTTTACCCGGCATTACGCATCGGCTGGCAAACTCTCTTGAGTGAGAGCAACATGATGAGCTTCCCAAGAGTTGATCAAGTTGGAGATATCGGGTGCCAATTTGTGAATCCCCAAGCTGACCGTGTTCATCTAGCTTTCCTCAACCGCGAGTCTCTGCAGGCCCCTGGCAGAAACCTCAGCGTGATTTGCGATGTTTCTGCTGACACCACCAACCCCCACAACCCTAGTAGGTCACCTCGCTTTGGTTCTTTCACTAGCCAATGCTGATTGTGCGTTCACTTGTAGTCCCCGTCTACACCGTGGCCACCACCTTTGACAAGCCCACGGTCCCCGTCGAGGGACTGGAGAACCCGCCCCTGAGCGTCATCTCCATCGATCACCTCCCGTCTTTGTTGCCGAGGGAGTCTGTAAGTTTGAAACTTTGGAGAAAATCATCATGCACAAGTTAGCTGACCCCAATGACAGAGCGAGGCCTTCAGCAACGACCTGCTGCCCACCCTCCTGAACCTCAAGGACTGGCGCAACGATTCCGTCTGGGCCCGCGCCGAGAAGCTCTTCCAGGACAAGGTCGCCCTGCTCCCCGCCGAGCTCCAGAAGAGAGAGGCCTAGTGGACCCCTATTCGGTCGTACCTTTGTTTCTAGAATGGAATTTGGCGTTTCCAGGGGTGGAGGATCTTATGCAGAAAATGGGCACATCCAAGCCAAAAGAGTGGCCAAGATGGGTTGCCAAATAGATCAAAAAGCTTAGATCATGAGTGGACAGACTTGAGAATTGATTCACAAAACCAGGGCTGGAAACTTGAGCAGCCATTAGCAGGCCTTGATAGTATATGTGACAATGACCGCCATCTCCAGGCTTCGGCCCCCCTTTTTGGATTGATATAGTCTACATGGTGTGAAATGTTGTGTTGGTGTGTATTTGTACAAGCCGAATGGCCGCGCCATAGAGCAGGGTGTCCCAAACCGTAAATCCAGAACGCCCATCAAATGCATCTGACCTTCCCCCTTTTCCTCTGGGAACTCTGCATCCCTCCCCGAACAAACCCCATCCCCCTATTCCCCGTACCGAGTATTCATCACCGCCTCTCCTCCGCCGCCGCAACACTCTTTCGATCTCTCGCAGCGTACCCGCCCACGCGCTCGCCCAGCCTCATCTTCTCCTCCTCCTTCCTCCTCGTCTCGGCGTCCTTTTCGGGCAGACCCCACCACTCTCTGATAAAGTCCTCCTGCTGCGCCTTCTTGACGGCTTTACGCTCGCGCTCCTTTTGACGCTCCATGCGCTTGGCGAACCACTCCTCGCGCGCGGCGTCGTGCTCCTGCGGCGTGGCGTGGGCCTTCATGCAGCCGTTCATTGCGCGGAGCTGGGTGCGGCAGACAAAGGAGACGGTGAAGGTGCGGTTTAGGGCGCAGTCTGCAAAGGCTGTTGTTTGAGGAGAGAGAGAGAGAGAGTTGTTAGTCATCTTGAATCCCGACTGTTTTTCCAAGGAAGCTGTTTTGAGAGGTGGAGAATTTGTAAGGGAAACGCTGGGCTTTGGAAGGGCTGTGGGATGGGAGAGAAGAGGCTCGGCTCGACGAGGCTATAGATAGAGAGAGAGATAGATATATGTATAGAGAAAGACGGCCGACAAACCTTTAATCTCAGGTGCGCAGGCGTTTCGCACGCGCGCGTGGTAAATGTCTCTGATCTGCGCCTCCTGGGTGGCCGAGAGGGGGAGCGGGTTGCGCGAGGGCATCGGCAGGCCCGCGGGGGCGCCGCCGGTCGGGTTCTGAGCCGCCATCGCGGCCATCAATCGGCGGGAGGGGGAGGAAAAGAGTATGGGAAGCGTGAGGGTACGCTACGTTCGTTCGGTCGGTCGGTTGACGGGGAAAGGGTTGAAGTGGACGGACGCCGGCGTTTTCGGAGGGTTGGCTTTCGGGGGGGGGGGTAGGGAACGTCTTTTCGTGAGAGCGATCGGTTGTTGTTGCTGCGGATCGTCAAACGAGACTGCGCCTTGGAAAACTCGAAATCAATGTCTCTGTACAAGGGCAATTTCGTGTCCTTTATGTTTTCGTTCAAATGTCTGTCGGCAGACCAGAGGCAGCGGGTGGTTCGATCTGGGTGGGTAAATCTACAGCTACCCGTTCGTTCCTCTCGCGAAATGTGACCCGTGCTTTCGGACGGAGCTTGCCAATTGAGACTTTCTGCCGCCGCTCGTCGAGTTCACCGCCTACCTTACTTGATGCTAATATCAGGAACCAAGCAGCAGACATCGAGGCAACCGAGACGAATGACAGCAACTGTCGCATCACTTTACAGGCATTTAGAGACCGTAGATCAAATATCTCGTCATTTTCACTCAATGATCTGAACTGGTGACGATATGGCTTTTGGAACGCCTGATCTTTTATTTTTAATGATTTTCGCTATACAATACATCGCTTTGGCCATCTGACACCGACAAATCAGCTGGATCTACTCGTCTTTCTTGTCTTCTTCCACCTCGCCCTCAGGGGTAGCCTGGTGGAACTCAAGGCTTTCTCGGTTGTCCTTGCCTTTTTTCTTCATGGAAAACTTGCTGCTCCAGCCAGAAATCCTGCTTTCCTTGGCGTCTCTGGATTTAGCCGGGCCTGCAGACGGGCTGCTGGTGACGCTTTCGTAGCTTCGACCGAATAAACCCTCCTCGCCAAAGTCGTCAATATCACCAAAGCTGGACCGATCCGCAGACAAATTCTTGTCAGAGTTCGTGGTGCTCCCAGGCCCTTTCTTAAAGAGTCCCGAGTCCTTGCTTAGACGAGACGAAAGACTGAACTTGCTCGAACTGCCTTTCCTGAAGAGCTTCCTATAGGCGTTCTCCTGATCCTTGGCATTGGAGTCGGAAAGTGTATTGGACACTGCCCTATCAAGCGTCAAGGACTCCCGAGATTCAGTGACCGACGCCTGTGTGTGGACAGAGAAGGCATCGCGGGACTTTCTGGACTCTGTCGGAGACGCATCGTAGCCTTGCGGTAGGTCTAGACTAGGCGCGGAAACATCCCTAGTCTTGCCTTTCTCTTTTGCGTCCTTGTCTTTGGCTTTGTCTTTGCCCTTGCCCTTAGACTTTGGCTTATCCTTCTCTTTGCCCGAGTCACTTTCTTTATCCTTACTGCGGAATAGTCCCCCAATTGAGAAGGTTGGCGCAGCTGGGTTCAAGCTTTTGTTCAACAAGGATTTGTTGTCCGAGTTCTGTTTGCTGGCTGGTGGTCTGCTGCCAATGACGCCAACCTGGCTCGGCGAGACTTGGGGATCGTTCAAGGCTTCGTGATCCAGAATTTCGTCCTCGGCCGACGCCAGTGTCGTTTTGAGAGCCGCCGGTGAGCCGTGGAGAGATGGTCGCCTGGATGGAGTCCGCGACGCCCAACGCCCATCAGCTGGTGACCAAAATCGGTTTCCTCGATCAGCTGGATGGTTCCAAATGGATCCGCTGTCGGTGGAAGGTCGTGGCAAGTCAGCTGAGGCCATGGAAGCAGGTCTAGGGCTGCTTGGATCTCGGTCCGCGTACGAATTCCATGGTATCAACCTGCGAGCCGACGAAAACATGCTGCGTCCCAGGTTGGCCGCGCTCGCCGCCTCAAGAGTGTCAGGTCCAGCCGAGTTCCGGTTTTGCGTATAGGACGAGAAGCTGGTTCGGCGTCGATTTGTTCCATCAAGATCGTCCGTCTGCCTAGGAAAGGACTGACTCTGACCATGCTTTAGGCTGCCCAACATGGGGCCACCGTCATCGGCAGCTTTGGAGCCTTTAGTTCTGTGCCAATGGATCAGATCCGTGAAACGGTGTCCATTTGCAGCTGGCGATGGCTGTCCCCCGGGGGAGGATGTCATGTCTTTGAGGAACGCGGGATCGCCGTTGTCAGGGGCGAAAGGTGGGAAAGCGGTGACATGCGATGATCCTGGGGGGCTAGAAGGAACACTATTCGAACGTCTGGACGATCCTGGCGACGGAGCGTCATCTTCGTAGCCCGGAATGAACGGGCTTCTGCGAGAGAGAGAATCAGGGCTGCTAGGTTCGTCGTCACCCAAGATGCCAGAAGGTAGGAGGGCGGCCGCCGTAGGACTAAGCGGCGCGCTCCCCGTGAGAGCCCTAATATCAGCATCAGAGAATTGGTCGCTCCCAAAGGCCTCGCCCCCGGGCATGTCCAAGAAATGTGAGAACGGGGCTCGACTGGTAAACCCGATCGGAGGATCGAAGGGAGAGTCTGAGGCTGAGAAAGGACCTGTGGGCGATGCGACGGTATTGGTAAGAGCATTGCCGGTGCGGCTTCGATGCTTAATTTGTGCCGAGGCGTTGGGGTCGAATTCGACGCCCGAAGAATTCGCCTGATTGTAGAACTGCATGCTCTGTTGGTTCTGGGCGTAGACTTGGGCGTGCAGGACATGGATGTGACCCTCAAGCTGCTGAGCCTTCCTATTCTCCATGATGAGTTGACTCTGGAGTTCCCTGCGCTTCATCTCGAAATCTCTCTTCAGTTTCCCGTCGTCTTCTCGCCAAGTATCATCCTCTTCGCCACCAGGTAGCTTCCTGCGTGCATCCTCGAGCTCCTTGAGCTGTTCCTTCTTTTCCTTGTATTCGGTCTCGAGTTGAGAATACTCATCTTGCAAGGCAGAGTTCTCCTCGTCCAGGTGCTTGATCTTGAGATCACGGCTCTGTGCGAGACCTTCCTTTTCCGCTGCAAATCCTTCGCGAGTTTTGCGCATAGTTTTGGTTTCAGCGACACATTTATCAATGTTATCCATCGCCTTCTTGCGCTTATCTTGCTTCTCCTTCAGCAGGTTCTCCTTGCGGGCCTTCTCTTTCGTGGCCTGTCTCATCTGTTCGCCGGTGGACTTGACTTTTTGCCTCAACTGCGCAGTGTTGTCGTCCTTCTCTTTCTGAATCTTCTTTTTCTCCTCCTTTTCCTTCTTCAATTTCTCCTCGAGATGTCTGTGCTCGCTCTCTTCGAATGCATGTAAGGATGCCGTCTCCACAAACTCCTTCCTCGACCGCTCCAAGGTATCGGCTAGCTCCTTGAGCGACGCCTCAGGGTGGTCGCCAGAAAAGTCCTTGATTGACGGCTGCTCCTGACTTGCTATGGACGGAGAGTGCCTGCGATTGACAGTGTTGCGTCTCTGGCCGGAAGGACCGTCTCGCGCAGCGGCGGATCCGCCTTCAAGAGACGGCGCCGCTTCGATGGTTGGGACCTGGCTACGACTGCCATTGTCTTCAACGCACGGAGTTTGTCCTGGTCGCGGATCTTGATCTTGGAAACTGTCGGGAAGTCTCGAATTGCCCAGCTCTGGCCGTCCGTCGGATCGATAGGTACGCAATCTAATAACTTGGCTACCGGCTTGGAAGTTGTTCGGTCCAACAGCAATGACTCGTATGTTGTAGCAATGATTGGGCCTCAGACCCGTAACAGTAATGGCTGTCTCTTCCTGCCTCGATTCGCCAACTGTGAAGATATGTCAGTTTCGTCTTCCACGGCCACCGAACGAGTCGAACAAAGACCAACCATTTACGCCATTGACCTGAATCAGAAATTTCTGAACAGGTCGGTTGTGTGTTGGTCGCGTCCAGTTGAGAGTCGCCGCGTCGGGTCGAATTCCGGCTAAGGATACATCGGGGGCCTCGGGGACGTCCACTCCAAGGATGCTGATGAGATCGGTCGTCGGTTTCCAGAGAGTCTGCCAGGCGCGGTGTAGCAGCCTGAACAAGGTCAGAAAAAGGTCGTTAGAAGGATCGCACGTGTCGGAAAAAGTGGCAGCGAACAGCAGGACAAGGCGGAGAGGGGAAGAGGCGCGTGGGTGAAACTGACCAAATGACTGCGGCGAGAGTCACCAGCATACTGGCATGCCGCACAAGCAACTCATCCAGACTCCAATAACGAATACCCTCACGGGTGTAGTGTACGGACCAAGCGAGACAAAGTTGTGCGTAAATGGGAGCGATAACCCAGAAGGTTGCGAGACTGGCGGCTGCCAGGACGAACTTTTGGAAGCGGCTATTCGGTCGCTTGAGCCACCAGGCGATGAGGGAGCTTACGAGGAGGAATTTCATGAACAGGGTCCATAACATCGCCGCTGGCAAAGGGGAAAGAAAAGAAAGTAGAAGATGCGGAAGAGTGGGAGAAAAGCGAAGGAGGAGACCTTTCGCTATTCCTCTCTGGCGCGGTCGGTTGGGAGGAAGGATATGTCGGGCAAGAAGGGAATAAGAAGGAGGGATGAAAATCTCGGCAGTTGTGTTGACGAGCCCAGACACACGTAGTGGCACGAGTATTGCAGACTCAGGCGCTGCTGCTGCTGCTGTTCGGTTCACCGTAGCACTGTCCACCAGTCCCCTGTACCGTGTATCACGGCTAGCGGCTGATACTGTGTGGATGGGGTCCAAGTCAATTGGGGGGTTGCCTGACACGCAGCCCAGGCGGCATGGCAGCGGCCAGCTAGGGGGAAGCTGGTACTGCTCGACGCTGGCGCTGGGGGAGATGGAGGGGCGGTAAGGCAAGTAGTGCCGGCCGCCTCGAAAAGATCGGGATGGGAGGAGGGGCATTGCCGCATTGCATTGGACGCCGGCAGGGGTGCGAAAGGGAGGCACGAGAGTCTTTTCCCCGTGAGGAGTGACGGTAGCAGAGAGAGAGAGAGAGAGAGAGAGAGAGTGAGAGACCGGGAGGGGAAGGACGGACAAGATGTATTTTAACCAAGAGTGAAGGATGTCGTTGATTTATATCTCTAATTCATGACATGTTTTTATTTCCATTTATGGTTTCCAGACTCGTGGCATTTGAACGGAAATCAAAGGTTAACTGCCTATATCTCGCAAGGTGTTTGTTCGTCCTTCCTCTAAAGTATGGGGAAGCTGCCTCATTTGCAGCACATCTGCCACGGCTAAGGGAGTGTAACGTGCCTTTG